TCTCTGAAGTTCTTATAAAGCTTTCTGAGTGACTGTATTTACAACTTTTACTGCTTATATATTTATAAAAATATTTTATTTTTTTAACCATAACATTGTTTTCAAAAACTATTTTCAGACTTTCTCAAGATATAAATTTGAAGTGAGTCTCAGTTAGAGAGCAAAAAACGCAAACATAAATGGTTGTTTCCTTAAAATTAAAAACAGGAAAAAAAAAAAGCAAGAAAGGAATTAAAAGTGAAGTTGTGTAGGCACCACTAAATATGTTACTTGCTCCTTGGCATTAGCCAGTTACTTTTCTATTTTTTTTTTTCAAGTGACCCCTTGAAATTCTGTTGAGGGGCATCTACCTACCCTGCAGTGGAAATAAGCATGCTGCAATTTGAAGGTTTTTTTCCTACCATTACAGTTTTTTAGGCCTGTGCTTCCCTTTCTGCACTGCCTTTTTTTGTTGCTAGACACCGCTTTAATAAAAACTGAACTTCAAGGAAACAAGACGCTTCTTCTCCTTCCATCCAGTTGCAGATTTAGCACTGATCTCTAACTAGGTTGCTGCCCGATGCAGTTGCAAATTGTGCATTGAAAACCATGTTCTTGGTGCCATTGACAGAACTCTAGTTCTCGCTGCTTAGGATCCGGCTGTATGAGCCGAGTATTGACAGACCGCTAATCACAAAAAAAACTATAGGGCCAATCTCTGAATTCTAGACACGAACCACTGGGTCAGGCAGGAAACAAATAGAGATCTCATGAACTAAATTGTGATCTTCTATTGTGACAGAATGCTTGATGAAGCTCGAGGCGAATCTGCATGTTAGAGCTTTCAGCAAAGAAAAATTCTAAAACGTGAAAAGCTCTAAAACATATGCAGGACTACTGGATTGGTTCTAAAAAAAACCTCACCTTCCAGATTACTGGTCTGTAAAGGAGTTCCGTCAATTACTCCACAGACTCACAACCAACCACCATTAATTTCAAGATAGTTTTCGTCAGCACCTGCTTCCCACAATGACTTCAGTATGATCTAAGCAATGGAGTAGACAAGGCAATCCAATCCCAGCATCAGTTCAGAGTAAAGCTCAAGCTACACTGGTAGGTGACAATCCAGGACAAGGCTCCATGGCATCATTGGCAAAAAGCTTAAGTGTGTGGCTAAAACATTGTGCTACCAGATCTTCACCACAAAAGCAGTCCATTCGCTGCCAGTTGAATAACCACCTCTGCAGGTAGCCATAAAACAGTCAATGGATACTGCAGCATGCTCATTTGCATCAGATACTGGCGGTCGCATCCCTTTAAAACACAAATGTCCATTTCAGTAGAAAACCCTAAACACTGCAATGGCAATCGGATAAAATGTGGAGGTCACGCACCGTTGTGTTATATAGATTTGGCAGACAGGCTGGAGTCCATTCGGTGCGTGAGAGACTGGCCGTACACTAAGGATGAGAAATGAGAGGCCGAAGTCCCTGGCACATATAGGTAAAGAGCCCGATCAACAAGAATGACTAAGGTAAAAAACAAACAACTTAAGGGCTCAAATCATAAAAATGCATACAGACATCATAATATTATAATATAGCAAGAGCAACACATATTATAATATTATAATTACACCACCTGCAAAGGAACAAAGTACATGCGGAAGCAAACATTTGCACTATTTATAATATATATATATACATACATACATACATGTACATGGGATGAACTGAGGAACAACACCCCATCGAGCAGTACCATAAATACAGTTATCGACCATTTACAGTTCCGCCGGCTGTTTGGAAAGATTTTTTTTCTACTGCCAAAACATCAAGTCTCTTTTTTTCGTGAATTTCTATAACTTAGTTAACTGTATATTAAATGGTAAATACAGACTTAAAATACACTTTCACAGGAGTATAAATACATCATGGTGCTGATGAAGAAAGGTGGAAAAGAACGGGAACAATGGAATATAATACACAAGAGCATTAAATGCTGGGGGATGCTGGTGTAAACCATTGTCTATACTCTGGAAGAGAGTGAAGAGGGTCAGCTTTTCGTGATAAATAATGTGGACATGTCACCTTCTAGAACACACAACACTGCTGCCAAAAAATAAATGAAGTGGCGAGGGAGTTGCCAGACACTACCTAAGCTTATTTTGGATATGGAGTGCATGTGCAAGCTCCACCCAATCAAATTGGAATTCCAGCAGCATTCCCCATTTGCATATCATGGCAATGCCAGGCTTTTAGAATGCTGGGTATGCCGGGACTGTAATGCTGGGAACGGGTGGTCAAAATGCAGTCATTTAGTAAAATCTAAAAACACAATATATACATATTCAGGCTCCAATTCCATCATCAGCAACAACTGAAAGCCATATTACCCAACCTGTCTCTGCACTGCTGCAAGTTGATTGTGCGGCCTGCTCATTCCCACACAGCCTCTTATAAGGATCTCGGCTGAGCAAGGACTGGCCCAAGGCTTTCAGAGGCTCTTGGGAACTGGCATCAGAGCCCACTAAGTCTAAGTGCATTTACACAAGTTAAACATCATCTAGAAACTCAAATGTTAGTTGTGTTACCTGCTGGCAGACCTTTTATATCCCACAGGAATACTGGGGGGCAAGAAACCCCTCAAAAGACTCAGAATTTCAGTTAAAGGTGTTTTAATCTCAGGGACTAACCCGGTCAGGGCAAAGTGACTATGTCTACGCCTAGCAGCCCCCCGCCCCACTTTACCCAGCCTGCAGCATGCCAGCCTGTCTAAGCTCTGGTTTTAAACGGCTGAAAGGGGACGGCATCAAGGCGTCCACCCATGTGACAGTGTTTGGGCATGGAGATTTGCTGCAAAGACCTGAGCACTGTCGCATAGAAGAGGCTAGGAAGCCCTGCACTCAGTTAGCAAGAGCTCGGGCGTGGGGAGAGTTGACAAGAGACCATGTTTTGGTAAGTGTACATGCCTGGGGGGCGCATATGCAGACACAATAACTCTGAAGGAGAATCATTTAAGACAGTTAAGCAGAACAGGTCCTCATATGCTGCTTATAGGAAGGGAGTTTAAAAAAATAAATAAAACTGGAGTGAAGGACATAACCTAGAAATCAAGTGACACGTTGCACATTACTTTCCCTCCCCCAGCCAGTCTTTCTGGTAGCTTCTCAGAACCCCTGTACCAGTCAATCTTCCACAGCTTAACCCCCCCCCAGTGCTGCCATGGGTATAGAATAAAGATGGAGCCTGAACTAAGCCTTAAACAATAATGGGGGGAAAAGTGCAGCATCCACCTACCATAAAATCTCCCACTGCGGCAGTGTGTTTGCTACAACGTGACAAGTCCACTTTACAGCCCTTGCTCTCCCCATTATAGCACATAATGTACATCGTCTTTCAACAGGCTGACTCTTTCCCTAACAAAACAAAAAAAGTCCTACATCACATTGCTGCAATGTACAGCAGGGACGCTCCGGAAGCAAAAAAACTTAAATTATGTTAGACATCTTTGGTCTAACAGCAAAAAGTACAAATAAAATGTATTGCTTTCATTCTCCTTAAAGAAAACAGAAGATGCACAAAAAGACCTTACAAATCAGAAAGTCGTATGTCACATGGGAGCAAAGCTGCTTTCTCTGTACTCCAGACAGGCAAATATTGCTGCTGTGCTGCTATACAATTCAGATCTACAAAGGAAGAGGGACTGAGGTGGAATTAACCTAAAACTATTTCTTTAAAAAAATCCAGACTTCAATTCTTTGAGAGTTTGAAGGCGATATATTCCAGCAAAAGGTTTAACAGTGTATGGCAGGTAGTCCTGGACATAGCTGCTCAGTTTGTGCGGGGTAGTGATATGTTTTCTGTGTATGGAGGGCAACTGACATCCACACAATGGAGGAAGCCATTTTGATAGCTACAAGCACAAGAAGGCAGCATATAGATTTACTAGGAACATCAGTGCGGAAGCCGTAAAGCTGGCCGAGCCTACTTTCAGAGGCAACAAATTCTTCAGTCTATACTGAAATAGTAGTATAGTTAAAGCATATCCAATCCAAAAAACCAAGGTAATCTATTGTAGTTTACCAGCCCTTAGATGTGGTGGGTGCATTCATTTTTGTTTACTTGGTGATCCTGCCAGTACACAGTTCTGGCCCTACGATGGCAGTTCTTACTAACTGCACCTATGTGAGGAGTGGTGCTGTCACCCTAGGCTTCTCTCCTGATCTGGACTACAAACTCCCCTCCCTTTTTATTACATGAATAGATCGCTGGAAAAGTCGATGTCTAAGATTTTAGTTCAGTGCACAGGAAGTTACAAGGGCACTACATTTCTACAACGATCCACTGGTTTAATTTTTTTGTACTTGCACAACCTAAAATAATGCTAAAAAAAAAAAAAAAAAAAAAAGAAGAAGAATGCACCCACCACTTCCAAGCTCTGATAAGCTGAAATATATTCAATTTGTGTTTTTCAGTTTGGATATATTCTAATGGCTGCTTCCATTTTGTGCAGCGGACAGATGCTCTAACCTGGATATTTCAGAAAACTGAATGAACAAGCTTCTTTTACTTCATGGAGATGAGACTTTTCTGCCTCGTATATTAAGCTGAAGAAAACGTCCTGCTCGTAGCTGCCACTCCTGTTGGTACTGGAGAGTGAAAAGGAGGAATACGACTAGTGACCAACGACCACGAAACATGTTTGAGGCAGTTTTTTTTCTTCACACATTGTGAAGAATTGGGTCATATGTTCTCAGATCTACCTACCTGATTAGGCCTACAAAAACAGGCCTTGTCCTCCCTGCTGTACATTTTGTTTTATACTTAGGAGAGCTCTGGCAGAATGATCTCAGCAATTGGATCCCACAGAGATATAAGACGCCAATGGGCAATTCAGACCACCAGCAACGATCCATGCCTAAAAGAACATGTATGGGTAGACATTAGCCTTTCAGTGGAACTTGTAGCAGCATTTCTGCATCCGACTAGATAGGTGACAGAATAGGACAGTCTTAGCTGCTAAACACCTCTTTTGAGTGGAGCTCAAAGGGTCATAAAGGACTTGTTCAAAGTCTACACAGTGTCATAAGCAAACTCTAGCTCTACAGCAGCTCCAATGTGCCTTAATGAAAGAGAACCGCTGTTTACCACACATGCTCATCCACCAAGTAATGGTGGAAGTCATACACAAGTAAAAACAAAAACAGGCCAGTAGATTCAGTGAACAGTGCAACACAAACATACAGCCACTTGCACATCTTCCTAACCAAACAACTGTTACCCAACATGAAAAAAAAAATTAACAGCATTTCAACATTTACAGGATTAAACAAAAGATTAAAGTAGTAAAAGTTCAGTCTTTACAAAATAATTTCCTGAAAATATAAAAACCCATTTACACCATCACAAAAAAAGGAATAATAATTAACAAAAAAGGGAAGAAAAATAGAAAACAAAATAGCTAAAGGTTCTTTTCTTTCCAAACTGTCGATCATAGTCACATGGATGTGTATCGTGAAGATCCGAAAGGCACAAGGAGCTGAAAACGCTAAGCACGGCCAGGCGGTGAGTATACTGGGTGGGTGTCCCTCTGCCATTCTCATACAGCAGTGTCATGGTCTTAAAATGAGGATGATACTTAGGAGTCACTGACAGCAAACCTGTATGGGGGGTGGGGGAGGGGAAAGACAAATGAATGTATTTTTAGCTTAAAGCAAAATAATAATTGAAAACCAATCTCTCTATATATATCTATATCCATCTCTAGATCTATCTTCTCTTATGCTTTTAGTGATATTAAAATGAAGCTCGTAAAGAAAAAAAAAAAACTTCAGAGGATGCTGCTAGCGAGATCTGAAAAAGGTAAATGACTGACCCAATGCTTCAA